ACAAAACCTCGTCCGGGGGCTGCCGTTGGCGCCCGGCCTTGCCGTTGGCGGAAGCGCAAGGTGGCTCTCAGCTTCTGCTCAGCCGCCTTCAGGTCCATATTGCAGGACCTTGAGGCAAATGGGACGCACAGAAGTTGCGAAACATAGACCAATGAATGACGAGTACGTTTCGGCAAGGATTTTCGTATGATCTGCATTGGATATCTTTGGATCACTCTCAAGTCATGCTGACCAGGTGCTGTTGACAAGAGCTACCACAAGGAGACATGTCACATCTCGCAGACATACGAGAACCGTCCAGCCTCAAGAACCGCCAGTAGCATGTGGGATAACCACCTGAGAGATGCTCCCGGAGTAAACCGCCACCAGGATCCGGAAATTCCGGCGGGTACTCTATACGATATACTGTATACTCTTGGAATGGTTGGAAGATGAAAAAACACTTGGAATTGAGGTTCATCTTCTGGACCTCAGTGGTAAGTCTACTCGCTGCACAACCAAGGCCCTTGGCCTTGCGGGGAAGCAAGCCCTGCTGTTGATGTAAGTAACTAAGCAGCCAAAGTACACCCATTGGGCGTGAGTGAAGTCCACTGCAAGTGGCAGCCATCATGTCTCTTGCAGGTTTCGTCTTCAGAGGCATTTTTCTTGCGCAAACTCCATCCAGCTGGGGCCCCCATACCCAGCTTGTTGATGCTACCTTCAGAAGTCGCTTCATGGGGCTGGGGAGGTGAAATGTCTGACTCAGAATCTCAAAGGTCTCAACGGTTGATTCCCCAAACCCCCCCGGATTCGGAATGGCTTTACAGGGGTTGTACGATGAATCTCCAAGTAAGGCAAGGAATTGACGGCTTCCCGTGAGATCGACGTCTCTCTTCGGATAACCAACAAGCACACACCTGGAATGACATCAGAGAACGAAAGCGTCCCCACGGTACCACTTCTCTGGTCTTCTCCCGTCTCCGGACGTCAGTTCTCACTGGTCGAAGTGACATCCGAGCGGTGCCGGTCGTGCCTGCTGCCTCTGAATCTGGATCGTCTACGCCCACATCTGCAGACAGGGTCAGAGAAGGGGGACGTTTAACATTTAACTTGGAAATGACACAGCAGTCAGCAGTCCATGCAATTACAATTCTATCAAATTCTCATGAAGGTTCTCGACACTGACAAGAAGAAATAACTCTGTAGCTACGTGCAGATGGAAGAGTATCCTCAAAGTTGGCAGAAATCAAGGCCGAATGCCAGAATGGTAGTATGATATCTTTTGAAAACCTGGAATCATCTATACCATACTGCCACTGTGGAATTCTTATCATCACTCTGCTCCCGTCAATCCTTGTAGCCGTCGTCGCAAATCTTGCACACGTCCGTCTACAGTTCTTGGGACCTCAGTGACTATCAGAATCTTTGACGTACGATCCCCTAACCCCAAGGGAGCGGGGTATGAAATCAACAAATGAACAAAGAAGACATCTTCATGAGGGTTTTCTAGGTTGATCGGCTGGGAGCAACTCTGTAAAACATGCAACAAAAATGAACTCTAGATATTCTAGTAACACCCCAAAAAGTATCTCTCCCTCTCTTTAAGCCTTCGACCTTAGGCCATCCTAGGCGTCCAAACGACTCTCAATGTGAAGGTCTCTTTGTCGGTGTCCACCTGAGCCAGCTCTGACGTTTCGCCATGGCGACTGAACAGTCGTTTCGAGAGATCTGAACAGTCAAGTCGTGATCCAATCAGACTCCTTCTCAAACGATTGAAGCATGTGTTTATGTTCGTGAGGCAAATCAAATAGTAGGAACCCAATTCTTGGTTCCATTGAGGCTGCATGCTCACTGTTCTGTGAATCTAGGAGTTGGCACATCTGGCCACACACATACTCAATGCACCATCACACACAAGCATGTCAAAGAATCTGAATTGGCTCATTGGAGATGATTGCTGGACCATCTCAAAAAGTATTTTGCAAGTTATATCTATAGCACGTAGCACCTTTGCCCGGCTATCTACAGTCTCACATCTGAAAGTGCCCACCGCACCAAAAGAGACAACATCAGCTCGTGCCTCCACATTGGTCGAATCAGAACCAGCCTGGACATCAGTCGAGAGCTCTTTCGATCGAAAGGTTGTCTTCCTTGAGGCCCCGAAAAGAATCCGGGTATGGATGGTATATGATGGTATAGGATAGACCACAGTAGTATATGCGACTGGAACCCTTACCAGTTCCGATTCTGCATGACCCAGCTGGCCAGCCCCCTTTTGGTTGCTTGAGATCCTGAGTCAAACACGTGGCTTCTCTGCTTTCCAGGACAGCATCGACATCCCCAGCCTCTGAAGGTTCCTCCGTCTTGGCATCTGAAGGCTCGATGTGGCTCTTGTCCCACTCGTCACAAGAGAACCATTGTGTGTCCTGAAGCTAGGAGAAACAAAGCAACATAGTAGCTTCTAGTTACCAGAAAGCTTTCTTGTTGCTAGTAGCGATGGTCTCCACCCTAATAGCGATGGCCTCCACCAAGTAGCTTCTAGTTACTAGAAATCTTTCTTGTTACTGTTTGGATTTCAAACGGACGGATGTTCCACCAAAATGTCCAGCAAAAACCTTTTTTCTGAATCGTTGGATCCATGCGAAGGCAGGACACAGGGACAGGCTTAAGTGCAAAACGATTCTCCTGGCGTGCGGGCCACTTCGAAGATGGGCAGGCTCCATGCTCCTGATCAGGCGCTTTCACGTTGAGCATGCATGAGTTCGCAGGAGGCTCAACTTTCCCCAATGTTGATCCTGGTCGCCTACAAAAATTTGAATATGCTAGCTTGGTGAGCTGTGTTGACATCTCAGGCACACTGCCACTCAGGTCACAGGGGTGCAGGCTTCTTGCGTCCTGTGTTCAACCTATATTGAGTATTGACCCATTGAAGAAAATAGATGCTCTGGAAGGCACAACTTTGATACAGACGCATATGCTTTTCCCATGAACAATACAGCCTTCTTCATATTGAGGCATCCACCTACACGCGAACAGCCCTCAAGGAAGAGGTAGCGACTCACAGTACCACCCTAACTATCTATTGACTTGAATTCCATGTTTGCTTGGCCAAGAGAGATCCCAGCATGAATCTTGGCCACAAGAACCGATCCTGACAGGAAGACATCGGTGGTGCGGTGCTATATGTTTATTGTATATATAAATATTGTTTGGCAGGGCTCTACAATATGTAGCAAGATGATTGGTCAGGCGCCCTTCGTCAAATGTTGAAGTCGCTGAGTCATGCCCTGCTCAGCTTCGGAACACGTCTTTCGGCTTTGACGGAATCAAACCAACCGCTCCCGGCACCTCCGGCACCGCGAATTCGAGGTGCTCCGCCACATTGCTGGTGTTGCCACAGGCCAGGACCTCAGGACTCAGGTGCATAGTGTATACATATGTATACGATTGTACAGTAGCATCCATGAAATGGCTTGCTCAGAGGGCCTGAACAGCCTGAAGGGCCTGAAGGGCTGAGGGTTGTTATCTCCACCTAGATCGTTCCGTTCCTAACGAGACGTGATTTCAATGTGCACTCAAGTGGAAGGGTCACGAAGGATCGCCGAACAGTACATTCAGATTTGTGCTTCAAGGATACCCGTGCCTTAGGGGCAGTCCAAATACACTGGTGAAACCGATTCATGATTGTCTCCAAAATGGATGATCCTACTAACTTGCATGCTGCATTGAATGGAGACAGTTTCTGGTTTCGGGTCAGTACCAACGTACCAGCTAGTTTGCTGTGCATTCAAGCCGAAATTGCGGATTGAAATGAGTTAAGCTCCCCCCATTTGCCTCTGGGTCTAAGCTAAACACTCCAAAATATGGCAAGTGAGCCTTCCCCTCACTCCGCAGCAGACTGGTTTGTTTTGTTGGGGTGTGTTCGCTTGATCCACCGAAGTTGATTTCGTTCTACACATGTCCTACAGCTCCAGCAAAGTAAGAAGAGGGTGGTCCCGATTTACACATGTTTGGGGATAAAGCAGAGATCAATCAAACATAGTTAAACTTAAACAGTGTAACCTTGCACATGGCCTTTGACAATGCAGGCCATCCTTTGAAAAAGAAAAAGATTCTGAAGCAAATCTCTGCGGACCAGGTCTTCCCCTAAGAGGCTGCAGGTGAAGATCATCGACATGGCGGCAAGGTGGAAACAGCCGTCCAATGGTCACAATGAGGGGAAGAGAACGGTCCGTGAGAATCGAAAATACCAAGGTAACCTGAAAAATTGTGAATCTGAAACGTCAAACAACAACCTCTTCTGCTTCTTAGATTTGTTCAAGAACCTCTTCAATATCATTTCATATCCTCATATACTGTAATATATATAATGATCATATAGTTCTATATTTCTTCATGTCCTTCAGGTCCTGCCTGCTTGTCAATCTGATTTCTGCTAATGCAAGATCCGGGGCGTCTAAAACCGCCGCGCCGGAGGCTCAGCCCGAGCTGCAATCCAACCGATCAGCCAAATCTCGTATGCAAGCGCATCCGACATGAAGGACGATTTGATGTATTAGGTATGTCTAAATATGTGTACATGTATATATCGTACTATACTATATGAGCGATGGAATTTATTTCCGTTAAACTATCACATGGACCTTCCTTACCTCGTTCTCCAATCCCGCATCGTTTTTGGTGTGTGATCTCGTTCTCCTTTCCTATATCTCGTTTTGGCGTGTGGATACCCATCTCGTTCTCGAGAGGCGTTCCTACCTCGTTTCACAAGCTAAGCATGTCATTAACCAAACCATTTCAAACAAATGGCGCATTTGATGCCCATCTCGTTCTCGGGGTGTTCCTACCTCGTTTCGCCAACTAAATCTGACATTGGGCTATAGAAAAGGAACGCCCCTAGACTAATCTTCACTACCGCAAAAAAATGCCGTTGCTCATATGTGTTTCATAATGACATGTCTACAGGGAATGAAGAGCAAATCTTGGAATGTGAAGGCAATACGACTATTGGGCATCCCAACACCGAGAGGATTTCCAGGAGCCAGTAGCCTTCCTCCTGAGTTGAGGAAACCAAGCCTCACGGTAATCATACTCAGCAATCCTAAAAGTCTAAGTCTGTTTGTCTCTACTTAAAAATGCTTGGTCTACACAGTCTACAGATCTCAAACAAACGCTCTTGGTCTATGGAAGTACTTTCAGACTTGTGAAACAGCCCTTTCTCCCACAAGGTGTCTTCAAAGCACCAGGAAAAGGTGTTCGTCTTCACTGGGACGATGCGTGTTCCGCTGTGATCTGAAACCTCAGAAGTAGCGGCGGTCCCTCTGTTTTGGACAACGCAGGTTCGTCTACCTTCACCGATCTCCTCTGCAGACGGCATCAAAGGTGCCCAGGAAAGCCTGAAAAATGAAAGTGGATGCGGGAGACCAAGTCGGTTCCAACCTCTTTGAGTTCAAGTGGAACGAAGTGAGTCTCCAAGAAAATAAAGCCCAAATGGCGGTGAAAGTTCATGGGTAAACTTGTCTTAAGATAGCATCTGAAGGTAGGAAGGCTTACTGATTACTGATCAAGGAATTGTGGTATATACCCGCAAACATAGGAAACTTGATGAGGACATCCGGTTCCTGCGTTACACAGCACTCTGCTTCTTTTTGTTGACCCTAAAAGGATTGAGGACTCAACTGAACATCCCACCAGAACGTGTGCAGCTTCCAGCGGTCGAAAGAGTGTCACCGAGTCACTGGGCATCCCATCTCCCAGCTCCCTCTGGTTCTGAAGACTTGATATTAGTTACATATGAGTTACATATTAGTTGCTAATTCTTGCTACAACACCTGCTATTTTCGCCGGTTCTCCATCTTTTCGAGACTCGCTCCCTTGGACCCGCCGCACCCGGTCGTCGCCCAAGCGGGTAGATCTTGAACAGACGCACCGAAGGCCACCTACGCCAAAGGCTGAGGTGGAGCACTGATTGTTGCATTCTTGTTCCTAGTAGCAAGGCCAGGAGCCCCTAGCAGCATCATTGGTCCTAGTAGCGTCCTTGCTGCTTGTAGCGATGCCATCAAAACATCAGGCCCTCAAGAACTCCAAAAGAAAAGGGACAGTGAGTGATGCTACCTATATGAGCCATAGCCAAGAGAATAGTTTGTTGGTGCATGTTCACCTGCCAGCCATTTTACTGCTCATCTACAAGGGACGAGCCTGTTCTTGTTCGTGCCCTTGCTTGGAACATGTGTGTGCGCGTTCTTCACATCCGGTCGCGACCCCGGCGCCAGCGCCACCCCAGCGGCACGACCGTCTTCTCGCCTGTCCAGCGACACTACAAGTGGGCTCCCGCAGCCAAAAGGCCAAGGCGCCTGGAGGGAATTGAACTTTGGTTACAAAGAGGACCCGGGAGGGGGTTGTATGATCCTCTATGGGTTGTTATGTCCTGTTGTGTTCTTTGGCACCGACCAGTACATATTACAGTATCGGCACTCCCTGAAGTTTGGAATTTGAGGTGCGCTAAGCACAAAAGTTGCCCTCTCCTTCGGTCACAGAAGGGACAAACATCCACGAACACTGGGTGGCTGCTTACTGGTGCTTCAAGCACAGTACAGCGGAAGGATCTGGCGGGTGATTTTTGTTCGTTGTTTCATGTTGTTTCCTAGTATGGTGATGTTGGGTGATTGTTTACTCCTATTATCTCCTCTTGCTCCAACATGTAAACAGGCACTTTGTTTGAACCTTCTTCAGGATGAACTTTAGGTCCTAGTGTCTTTCGTGCAATCGTTCCCAATGGTCTTTTTGCAGCGGATCAACTGCTGGAAGCACAAGATACAAAGCTACAGGAGATGAGCCACGTCACAACATAGCCCATGGGCCACCGTGGCCACATCAGCCCGCGCGGGAGTTCGGATGATTTCGGGTCCCAGCTCTACTCTCAGCCCACTCTCCACCAGGTCTCAATGATGTCCGATGGGATTGAGACCTGGTGGTTCCACGGCGTCGCCTCGAATCTCTGCGAGCTGGGGCTCAAGTCTCTGAAGTTCGGCCGGTCGAAAAGTCTCATCCCCGGAGTGAACGGTCAAAAGAGGGCAGTCTGCGAAGGCGCTCCAGCCAAGTCCCGTTCCAGCACTCAGGGTCACACTTGTCAAGGAGCTGCATCCTTTGAAGGCACCAGCATCCACCAGATTTACAGACTCCGGAATTCTTATGCTGGTTAATGAGGTACAGTCTTGGAAGGCACTGGCTCCAATGTAAGTCACTGAGTCAGGGATAGTCAGGCTTGTCAAGGAGCTGCAGGATTGAAAGGCACCAGCCCCGATATTTGTCACAGAGCTGGGAATTGTCACAGAGATCAATGAGCTACAGCCCCTGAAGGCATCGAACTGAATCACTGCGGCAGTCGCTGGGATGCTTACGGCTAGCAGGTCCTGGGCATCCCGACCAGAGCATTCTTTGCAAGAGCACTCAACAGAATCTATCGCGAAAAGGACTTGCACTTCTGCTTCGTCCGAGATTCCTGCCGCAGTTAGTGTTTCATCATCCATGTTCTTCAACTTTGTGCCATTGACCACCAGGTCCACCTTGGTCATCCGGCCCGTGAGTTCGTCCAGAGAAGAAGACTGCAACGCTGCCAGCTGCTGCTTCAATGACTTGATGGTCACATCTGGCTCTACCTCGATGATGGTCTCCTGCCCGCCTGACGGGCACTCATTTTCTGTCCTTTGACCATGCCATGACCAAATGTATACTTTACAATAGTCGGTTCAATACCAAATCCATACCTCCATGTTTGACAAAAAGGACCAAAATAGAAACCAATATAAAAATGGATTGCAAAACGCCGCGCCACTAATCTGCTGCACGGGAATCCTCATGGGCATCCGCCCGGTGTTGGAAAAACCGCACCCACATCTCTGGCCGCCCCGCGAGTACTGGAGTACTTCAAGCTCAGTGGCCGCCCCGCATGTTGTCTTCAACCGGGTTAGTCTTAATGCATGTGTCTTCTTCACCAGGAGTCTTTGGGGGCTCCCTATGAAACATGTCATACCCACCTCAAAGTCACGAGACAACCGGGTCGAACCACGACCCAGAGGAATCCTCTTAGGCAGAAAAAGAATCAGGGTGTGCCCATCCCCTTTAGAATTCCATAGGGAGCCTTGGACTCTGTTTGTAGAGATCATTCACTAAAGATGTATACCTGTCCAAAATCATACATATTGTATATCATATAACTATACCCTGGGCGTTAAAGACTATAAAAAGAATGGTCTTTAAGGGAACTGAAAGGGAACATCCACTTTACTCCAGCCGGTCAAAATATAGTCGTTGGACTTCTAGGTCTAGGGATGTCTAGGGTATATGATACTATATCAGTCGCGAGCAAAGAATTCTCGCACTCAGTCTGCGTGCACTGCGTGCCTACGCCTGCACGCTGCAGTGCACGCACTGGGCCTCCACAGCTTTCTCCAGAAACAATGAGGCAGTTTTGTTTCAAAGTGCCAAAATGTTAAGAATGCGAACTGCTTGCATTCGACAAATGAGCAGAACCTGGGCAGAACCTTCAAATCGATCCTGACATCCTTCAAGCTTCCATCGAACCATTTTCTTGAACAAGGGTCGATCGACGTACTGGCTGGGCTCTTGGCCATCGTTGCTTGGACCCAAACCTGACACGAAACACGCGTGTCCAACTCGATCGAAACAATGGCATAGCCGGCGGCACCGGCGCCGACATAGCCATGAAGGATCAAACACCGAAGCGTTTCGAAAAAATGTCCAAGCGTGGCAGCTAAATGCAGCTAAGGTCTATGAGGGGCATCCAGTGTCATCCAGTGGTCAAGATCGCAAGATGTCTTGATTTGTGGGGTTCCAACTCCTTTCCTCCCAGAAACACATTGCATGTTTCGCTGCTTCGCTCGAATGGTTGCGTGTGGTTGCGTCAACTTGACCTCCAAACTTAACCTCCTCACTGCGCCTGATTGATGTCCCAATCATCTCCCAAACCCCAAAAGAGCATGGCTTTTCTCCCGCTTGGCAGCAGCTCATCAGCCTCTGTCATCCCAAAAAATACGCAAGCAATGGAAGCGACGTCGGCACTCGGTTCTTACACAAGATTGCACAGTAGAGGAATGGTTTTTTGAAAGACGCAAACAGCGGACATTGAGTCGTATGTGGACTTCAGTCGTCTACATGGTCTACAGCCAATCTCTGCTGACTCTCTGCTCATGGCGTCCATCCAAAGAAAGAAGGCTCGAGCCTTAACGACCCCCTCGACCGGGGTAGGGGATGTAGAGTTCAAGGACAGGCTCCTGGCGCAGCAAAACACGGCTCAGAACAGGGAATCTGCGTTCATCAACGACCCTCTCTTGTGAAATAAGATCCCATTGTGGCGTCATGGCAAACATTTTGCTGTCGGCGAACTGCTGTAATTGCATCCACATGCATCCACCCTGTCCGCCATCAATTTGCGGATCAAACTATATAGTTGTCGCGAGCCCTTGCTCACTCTGGATGCTCCGCTCCTGTCCAGCGCCGGACAAGGCCTGTGCATTGCGAGCCACAGCAGGATGAGCGGCATTCAAGCGCAGCGCCTGATTCCTTCGTGCGAATGGTGCAACACAGCTTGGACTGATTTTGCCAAGCTTGGGCAACACCATGAAAACAAGCAAGTCCAACAGTGATCGGTGTGATCAGCGTGAATCTGTATATACCTGGGGAAACGAAAGGAACAACTCTCTAACTCTCTACCTGCATGTGTGTACGAAATTGTGTTAAAACAATTAATAAGTAAGTCTGACTAGAATGTCACTCAAACATTCAATACACATAAGCAGGTTGCTGATGCAAATGATGCACTAACCACTCACCTTGCATCGTCTGCATCACCAACCCACCAAAAATCATATTCTTGGCAAAATAAAAACACCAGCAGGCTAATATGCACTTTTCAACATCTCACTTTGTTCGCAAAAATAACTTCAGCCTAGCCTATCGGCTGGCTTTCGTGATCGGCTGGCCTTCGCGAAAAGTAGGCCTTGCCCCCCAAAAAATGCTGTCGGTCCATATCACAGGAGTCAAGTGTAGCCAAGGTTCAAAGCTTGAAGCGCTTGCTCAGGAGCCTGCCAGGGCCCCCCTTCTCAATGCCACATCCCTCAATGTGAACCAATGCCACTGTTCATCTCCCTAGGCATCAACTGCTTTCTAAGCCCATAAACGCAAACTGAGAGTTCTGGTTTTGGGACAGGAGTGGATCTGGTAGAAAAGTAGCTAGAAGTTTCGCTTCTGGCACTGCTGCACCGTCTTGAATCTTTTTTCAGTTTAATTAGAGGTGCACCTGACCATAAGCGTAGATTGTCGCCATATTGCTCCAGAGCAAAGGATTTTCGCCCTCAATCTGAAGGCCTTAGCAAGACCACAGCAGGCAGAAAGACAGAGGCAACAGGGGATCGGTTCCAACACCATCTCACAAGCTTGCGTGCCTATGGCACAGCCACTGCAGCGCAGTTGATCACGAACTATTGGATTGCGCTCGATCACCCATCTTCTTCCTTTTCATTCCCAATACCACACATCGCCCATTTTCGTCATCCTCGAACCTGACCAACCTGAGCAGCTGGTTGGTGGCTTAAACTATCCCCTGCAATAACAGTTGGTCAATTGGGATTATCACCCCAAATACGATGAACAAACAAAACGATTCAAAACCACCACACAAATAATCACCTGAGCTCACCAAATCTTCCCCCGTCCCCTATCAGGCGCGCGCACGCCATGTACCGTGCCTTGGTTCAGGGAGTCCAGAGCCTCTTGCAGCTGGCCCTGCCGTGCTTGTGCAACGCCCAGGGCATTCCAGCCATAGCTGCTGTAGGGCATACGCCTCCAGGACATGCTTGAGGGCTGTTGAGTGTTGAAGCATTCTTGGACATTCTATCTACCCCTTTTGGACATTCGACCCTTTTCGGCCCTAAGTCCAAGAACCTGCTGTTAGAGTACAGTAGACATAATAGGCTGTTGATTGATGTCGATTGAATCGTTAAAATGAACTTCCACTCACACATGGCGAACAGGTGCACCGCCACTGTGCTCTTTGTGAGGAAGCAGAATAGCCCAACAGGGAACTTACGGGTCCTGCCTTAGACCCTCTTGCAAGTAGTGAGCGCCTTGCGCATCGGATCCCAATCGCACCAGCAAATAGCCTGGACAGGGCTTGGCTGGTTAGATCTGGATAGCTGGTTCCCTGCACATCGGAATTTCGGATTTGTTCTGCCCGCCTTATATTAATAGCATATAAAGGCTTGCTTCTAGCTCAAGCTGCCAAACTGCGAGCTGTAAGCTTTGATGCAACAGAAGACACCAGCATCTCCCAGTCACGACATGTCGCAGATTTACCGTCTGAGTATCCACGAGTCAATCCTCCTTGCCTAGGTCCGTCATCCACAAGAAGTCGTTGCCATCATGGAGACCAATGCCATGCCCGTTCAGGATCTTGTCGAAGCGATCATAGGCCTCCTGGGTCCGTCGTGGGGCATCAGCTGATTATAGTTCTCACTGGGTTGGGAGAAGCCCTCACGAACGAATCATGATGAATCGTCCTGCAACCGGCCCAGATTGATGAGAATCCGGGCGATGCAGTAGTCTGTGATCGCTTGATCATCAAAGATGTCCAGTGACCTTGACAAGACTTCACAGATCAATTGAAAGGGACACAACACTTCTACAATGATCTATAGTTGCATTGCAACATCCTCTGATCTACTGGATCAACAGCACCAATCGGCTTACTTTATTCGGCTCAATGTGCTTTACCACCTCAGTAATTATATGGGATAAACTGGATTGCGGATGGCAAGACTGTCATGTGGATGACCAGTTGCATGGCTGGGAAGTGACCGCACAAACGTGGGGAGCACTCCAGCCCGAAAATTCCAGGCGGTTGTCTTAAACATGTGCAACTGCAAAAAACAATCGAATCTTCCAGTGCCTGAGACCTGCAGCCTGGGAAATTCGGATTCCGAAGTTCTTAGTTCTAAGTTCTAAGCAAGCTGTGAGACAGGCTCTAAGGAAACGATCCAGCCCTTCGTGCCTCTGGTAGTACTCCAAAGCTTCAGGCAGTTGTCCCTTCGCCTGCAATTCTGACGCCTTCGCGTGCAAGACCTCGGAGCTGCTGTCGGTGGGTCGGTGAATGGTTGCAACTCACATCCAAACCAAACACCTGACCAGTTGTTTGGCAAGTCCAGAGACCGCGTCCGTCCAGATATATACTACTCACAAAGAAGCACTGCAATTTGAGTCGTAACCTGCAACAAAGATGCCTTGACGCTCTTGTGCCAGTGTTCAGCATCCTGCGACCGATACTGGGTGCCCCAAATGCCAAATGCCCCAAATCATCTCAAATCTGTTTCACCCCACAAAGCCCAACTTTGATATTCTTTCAAGACTATGAAGAGTTGGATCCTTTCTTGGCTCGTGGTTCTCGCATTGGATGCAATAATGTAACTGTATATCAATGTTTGGCAAAATCGCCTGGCAGTACGTGAGGTTGTGGCTCAAAACTAAAGTACCCAAACCACCCCGGCAAAGGAAGAATCAACCCGAACCTGCGGGTCACGTTACTATTCTGTTGAGCCATGTCCATGCGAGATGGACTCAAGACATGAGGATTATGGAGAGGATTATGGTATATGATATATGGTATGGTTGATTATGGTTGGCCCATGTCTTATGGTTAAAGATTATGGTTGACCCATGTCTTGCGCTCTTTCATGGGTTGCCGGATTCCAGTAACACCCATGCGAGGGTGCCCGCTCCTTCATGAAGAGGATGGCTGGCGATCGCCAGTGGGACATGCGAATGTTGGAGTTAATGATGTAAATCGCCTTGGAAAATGTCTGGATGCCCCAATCTTATGCTGATCGGTTGCCTTTTGTTTTGCGATTCACAAGATGTCGAGGCATGCTGCATGGACTGCACACAGACGGTCTCGTGACCACACATGAACCGGATGGATGTTCAAGCATCAAGTGACCCTTGGGGTAATCCCGAATCCCTTGCGCCACCAACAAGGAATTCATTGCTGGTGTTCCAGCAAAGAAATACTGATCTGGCTGGGAGTAAATGTTACACAAAGAAAAGGGTGCACAAACCAAACCACATGGCCCGACAGAGAATTGTGTGGTGGCTTTTGCTTGAATTGGCAGCTCAAAAGACTGAATTTGACTACATGCGGGTCAAAGCCATGGTATGTCCTGGTATCCAATAATCCAATAGCTGTCCCCCTTCCTAAATGCAAAACAAAAGACTTCATCGAATGAAAGAAGTTCAACAAAGTCACACTCTGTACTTTCCTCCCGCGAACTTCGAGTGGCCAAAAGCCCTGCAGCGGCCCATCTCACCACGCGGGCGCGAGCGGCCCAGCCAGCCACGAGCAAAGCCCAGCCTGCTGTGAGGGGGTATAAGAGCCGCTCTCCAATAGTGGTGCCCACCAGAAAGAAGAGGTTTGACATGGGCACGAAAGGCACCTGATGGCAAAGGTTGGAAATTGATGGGACAGGACAGCAGGAGTTGTTGGATGTTGTTGGTGCGTCTGTTGGTGCGTTTAAATAAAAGCGGCAAGGCCAGTGGCTCACTTCCTAGTTTTCAGTGTCTTGGTTGTAAAAGGATCTACGAGTAACAGGATTTTTGTTATTAAGTTATAACGGCTTTGCGGCTTGGGGGATAGTTCAGAGATGTTTGGAGCAACTAAAACCCAAGATGACTCCAGCCCATCCACAGGCTCAATAGCTGTGTGCGATGTCGAAGGGCCATTGCGTGATTAAAGGGAAGGCCGCAATGAGCTGCTTCTCCCCACCCGCTCGCACCGGAAAATCCACACCGCTCGTACCGAATCCGCCACGGCGCCACGATGAGCCCCAAACCCAAGAGCAAGGCGGGAGCCGCGCCCCGCAAGCGAAGGGCCACCGCGCCCGTCGCGGTCACCGCCAAGTACAAGGCCAAAATCAGGGAGAGCCGAAGGTCCTGAGGCAGGGCCAAGATGGGAGGAAATTGTTCTATGTTAAAAGAAAGAAAGACATAAGTAGATATATATATATATATATAGGAACGTTCTGAAAGTTTTGTAGACGGTCTGAACCTGGCAGCATCAGAAACTGTACTTGGGAGGTGGTTCCTGCTTTTCAGCAAAATTGCTCAAATATCCAAGTCTACAACAGTCAACTGTCAACCAACTGCCCCACGGACTTGGCCATCCTTCAGAGTGGTCAGCATCGGAAGTGACTCAAACGAGTAGTCCCAGGATTGATTCCATGGGAGAACCAGCAACTTGCCATAGTAGGCCTGAGTCCCGGAGTGCCGAATTGGCGTCCCGGAGTCATGCGAGTTTCGTCCCGACCTTCGTCCCGACCTTCGTCCCGGAGTCAAGCGAATCCTTGAGCCTTTCAACGCATGTTTCGCCCGCGCTGCCCTTCGCATCCCTTCACCCCTGGAATGCAACATCGGCCAATTCCAGCCAAGGCGCGTGTTGAAAGAGATAGGACAAGCTACGCACCAGCCATGCTTGTGAGCTACTTCCATGGGTCCGCTCATCCTGGTAGCGGATGGGCGTGTCCACATAGCCAAAGCCCGCATCCGTGCCGCCCACGTACCAAGTCCGCAGGGCTGCAACCAGCAAGAAGAGCAGCAAAAGCAATGAGACATGATGCCAGCGACAGCGGAAGCCAAGCCTGGTCGTTTGACCCTGGTCGTTTGACGCCTATGTGAACACCCCTCCTGGCCATTGTTCCTCCTACGCTAGCCAAAGGTGTTTGCCGGTGTTGAGTGTTTCTGAACTGCTGTGTGGGTACGTGTGGTTAAAACTCTCTTCGGTCCGTCCTATGTCAAGTCATATGTCATATGTCTGCGATCGACTCGGAAGTTCCTGAGACAGTGTGTAGCAAATCAGGCAAACAGGCCGTACATCACCGGCAAATTAGCGTTCTGGTATTCCCATTCCACATGAAACTAGTAGGGAGATGGGTTTCGAACTTCTAGATGGTCAAAGAATGTCAAACAACTGTTCCAGTGCAAATCAACAGTTTCTCTCCCAGGCGGTGTCCCATTACACCATACTACGCCCTCTCTGGATCGCCCTCTGGACGAGTTTCTCGACGCAGGCCAAATAAAAGAGTGCAGTGAAGCCCGGCTCCTTACCTGAGTCGAAATGTTTCGCTCGGCCAGTTTTCAGTCCAAGTCCTTCTTGGCGCGCTACTTCCTGAACGATTGGAGCGAATGGTTTTCAAATGTCCAACTCGACACCCACACCCTAACAAATTCACAAATACAACCGGCAAGAAAGTGGCGATAAAACAAATCATGTTTAGCTTTTACAGGTGCACTTAATTGCTGGATTAAAAGAGTTCGCATTGACACGCTGAAGCACTCACTTTGCGACTGTCCAAACCAATTAGCAAAAGGAAAAATGTTAAAGAAATAGAGGTGAGGTCCCTGGGCCTGGGCCCTACTCTTTGAGCCACATCCATCAATAGTACACACATATGCGTTCTGGCACACACACAAACAAAATGGCATGGGCACTCCCACAATCTTTCTCCCTTTCGGTTTTGGGGATGTGTTTTGGTTTGTTCCAAGCCTAACGGCGATCTGACCCATCGCGCTTGTGCCCCTTCCTGTACCAGAATTTTGGAGACAGCAAGAACCCTGCTGTTGAAGTCTCGGTGCACAGGCCCGATAGGACATTCAGCATTGCGAACAGGGCATAGCTGCGCAAACCCATCTGCTGCTTCTTCAAGGCCAATAGATAGGCGATCAAGGCCAACAAGTAAAACGTGGTAGACAACGCGTCAGCGCGCCCGACGAGATAGACAATGTTCTCCTGACATCCATCCGAAAGCATCACCACTTCTTGGCAAACATCTAAGCAACAACATGTTTCACATAGACTGTTATAAACGATTGAGGCTCCAGATGGGAGGTTCTCCGGGCGGAAACGACACAAACAATTTTTAGACGAGTCGAAAACGTGGAGCCTGCCTGTGTGTTTGATAATGTATGCATCGTTTGATGCATTGAAAAAGGTGCTAAGAAAAACTGATTTGTTCGAAAAATATCTGCGTGAAGCGTGAAGAAGTCGAAGTTGAACACAGTAAAAGCAAGATTTTGAAATGTGTTTTTTCTCCCCCGTCAGGGTGTGGTTTCATGGTTTTTGCATATCGCACTTCATGTTGAAAAGCCTTCAATTACAGTATACTGCTGGCACCAGTCAAAGTGGATGTGGTGCTTTTTAAACATTGCACACCACTGTTTGAAACAGGCCGTATGTCTGATAGTCAGCCTTTTTTTGACCAAAAAGTTTCATGTCTAGCAGCATGTGATATGTTTAAAGAGTGTGCGTTCATCTCCCCAGGCAGGGTGTAGTTTCGAGATTGTTGCACATGTCTTATCATTTTTGGAGTGTCTACATAAGCCCATTACCAGCACAAAACACCGCGTCAGCAGTCAAGCGGCTTCTGTTTTCAGCTTATCAATTCCCAACAGTGCACATATAATGAAATAACAGAGCACAGGTTTGATCAGTAAACTAGGTCTCAAGTTTGCCCCAGTGCTTTTTTGAAAGCATCGCTTGGCACCATGCATGCTTCGCATGCCTTTGTGCGAAGAATCACGAGAGCTTTCAAGACCCGTTCCAATCCAGGTTTGTTGTTGAGGTAGTGAGCTGCAAGGAGGTTCCTGTGATCGATGGTATCTTTGGAATCATTGAACAAAAGGTTGCACCGTCGGAGCTCTCGCTTTCCAACATTGCAAGCGACTCTGCTATCTGATCACCGCCTGCCAACATAAACACATCTTCCCTGCAACCAATCTACGCAACAAGCCTCTGGTCGAGTTGTCCAAATTCTTTTGGGGGATTGTCGACAGGGGTGTCCAGCGGAAGTTCAAGTGACTCACACCTTTCAGCGACGGCACTGCTGCAGTTTCGATGACAATGTTGTGAAATCGACTTACCCCCACCCCACCCCACCCCACCCACCCCGTATTAATCACACAACTAATCGGTGACAATGTTGTGATGTCGATGACAATGTTGTGATGTCGACCTGGCTGCTTCTAGGATTGCTGAAGTCCCCGGAGAACCACCCGTCCAGAGCCACTACTGAATTTAAGTGGGGTAACCCAGCGTCTCAGAACCTATCCACAGTCCCCCAGCATACCCACACCAGGCCCTAAGGCCTTTTCAGCCGAGCGTCCACATGGATAGGATGCGCTGCAAAGAGCGAGGCTCCCAGACCTCGGATGGAACATATCTACCAGCAAATTCCGTGTCGTTGTGGTGGAACTGCCCCAGCAACAGACTCTGTGCTGTCGAAGCTCAATAAACCATATGAATCCAACATGAAATATGCAGTCGACACATGGTCCAAAACCCAAGCAAGGCCCATTCCGCCACTGCATGGGCATTTGGCCAACATGACACTGTCGGGAGTCCAACAACCGAGCCACAGGCACAGCTCAACGGCAATGAAGCCAAGCGCATGGCCCAAAGCAGCAAGGCCGAGTTCAAGCTATGCCTCTGGAGTGATTGCATTCACCCATGCACATGCAAATATGGTTGGAACTGGTTGAGTGAGTTTGCCAGCGAGTTCGTACGAGTATATCTATAGTATACCTACTAGTATACCTCTTGTGGAAATATATATATATATATACGTACTTGAAGAATCTTGAAGAGGAGAATGAAGCCCCCCTTGCTTGGGTTACAAAAAAATTGCAAGCACTTAGTCTCCAATTTTCATGCCAAAGGCATTTTGCTTGCAGCTCAGCCGCACTACACAGCTCACAAATCTCATTGGCTGCATTTCCAGTCCCTCGAAGCCATAGCGAGCGCACAGAAGCCACTCGCCGGCGTACATGAGGGTGATCAACGGGCGCCAAGATTTGTGTGTGATGTAGCCTTGGCAAAACCATAGCGAATCCAATGCTTTTGGAGCTTGGAAACAATGCTCACAGGGTGAAGGGTAGTTTGAAGTGTTTGAAGTGAGATGTCACAGTTTGAATGCTGAATTCTTCACTGAATGGCGGTCTTCTAGTCTTGGCTCGGAAGATGATGTTTCTCCAAGATCAGCAGGCTTTGGCCATCTCTGGCCAAATCCAACACAAGCCTCCACAATGCGCTCTGCCAAGCAACCCTCCGGAGGGTTCAAGGAGGTTCCCCAGAAATCGTTCCGCAGGACCTCTCAGCTGCATTCGCGCTGTTGCAAGCGGAGGCGCGTCCTTTTCCTGGGGGGTCCTTGAGAGGATTCCTGATGCGGAAATGGCCGCCCACTATAAAATTCAATGGGATTTACCAGCAAAACAGCACTCGTTCAAAATTGTATGATCGAAACATGTGACCCGGATGCTGAATACAAGACTCTCTGCTTGTGCTTGCAAGATATTACCTCTAACTATGCTGATTCTAGTGACTACAGTACTAGTGTTTCGCAATGATCACAACAGAACCTGGCCCTTTAAGCTATTGAACGAATGCCGAGACCCCACAACTCTGTCTTTCGGCCTGCAGAAGGGGCGTCTCCCCCTTGGCATCCGGATTTCGATAGATGGCAAAGCCTTCATCCACGAACCAGCTGCGATAAGTGAGGCAGACCTTGAGGATCGACGAAATCGACGAAGGCTGTGCGGAGGCGATCCACACAGGCCGAGCTTTGGAACGAGCGGCTAACGAGCGGGGCGATCCATGGAATGGAGATCGCACGGGGAATATTAGCAACAACAGCAGCTACGGAGATCCTTGAGGGACAGCACCTATGTGCCAAAGAAATGGTGTGGTCATCGACTATCACGCAGGTAGAAAGAATATGGTTTGATGATTTTAAACAAACTCTCGTGTATCAAACATATTCCACCTACTTGAGAGCGGCTACAGTACCAAGAAACAAATACAGTACTCCGATGCACCTCTCCCCTTTTGAGAACAAAGATCGAAGCTGCACGGAATAAAAAGCCAATAGTAAAAGGGCCGCTGCTGGCAAAATTGCGCTGGTCAATGTGCAAACGTTTCCAAGATGAGAGAACCCAAATCATTGAACCACCACAATCTAAAAGGATCCAAACGGTATATTAAAGCTAATGGTGAGGCACATAGTATGGCAAAGTCAGCGCCACCACGAACCTCAAGAAGCTGCGGTTTCGCTGTCCGTTTGGCTGGCCAAGCCCATTTTGCTGCCTTGCTTACTGTAGGGAGATGCTTGGCTAAAACACGTCTGCTGTGAAACACAGGATTACAACATCGCATGCTCTGCAGAGCTGAGGAGCGCATAGGATGCCAGCTCCATCCACCGAGACCTCAGCTGAACAAGCAACAAAGATCAACAAAGAATAGCTCCTGCCTCAGCTGAGCGTTCTGCTAAAGCTTAGAACCACTTAACATGATTGAACATGTGTGCTAAGCCTTCGGTCTTAGAACAGAGAGAAATAGAGACCTCCAGAGGACAAAGAAAGGAAGCAAAAAGATTCAAAGCGTGCGATTTGCAGGGTTGGCTATGTGGGTGTTTCTTTATCAAACCGGAAGACCCCTCGAATTCGCTTGTCTAAATCCATTATGTTCACCGTTCCTCAGGGGGCTTTTTGGGGGGTCTCCCGTCTTGAAATGTCTTGAATGCACCCTTCTAAAGGCTAGTTGGGTGTTACCCCATCTCATTGTGGAGGAGCTACCTTTGAAGAGCTGTAGCCAACCCCGCTTAAGCAAATCTCAGTTGACTCATGCACAGATCGAGTCGTCTTCCCTTGGCTTTCCCTCACTGCAGAGATCTCATTGCAAATCTGCTGGAGTTCTGCTGCACGTTGACGCAACAGAACCTTGTCCACACCTGGCCAGAGGTCTATCACGAATGCCGGAAGCTGATGTGCTACATATGTGAGACGATACTTGCTTTGATTGCGACCCTGTGCATTGCCAGGCACGAAAGATATGGGCGTCAACCGCAAGGAACCAGACTAAAGCGGACCGAATGCAAGTTACACGGGTGGTCTCCCTGCTAGTTACGTTCATCTTCACAAGCACAAGAATCTCAGTGTGCCACTGGCGCTATCATGAGCCAATCGTGTCTGTTCATCTACTCATCTCCATCTCGCGCCTTTGGCCAAGCCTCCCACATCTGCGCCAGCGATGGCGTTGACATGCGACAAGAATTCCTCTTTGCTCTTTGCCACCGTCGTCGCCTTCCGAAAGCGGCCCGCCATGGCGGTCGCTCGTGGAACGCGCCGCGAAACTTCACGCCGGTTCAGCTGGGTTCAGCTGGGCTAGTTGGGGTCTTCAAGTTTGGCCAAGACCGGGGCCGTGCCAAATCACTTATAGTTCATGATGTGTGTATGTGTGTGTATATATATATATTTATATATGTGTGTGTGGTGTGTTCAGAGTAATTGTTGATCATCACTCAAACATGAGCCGGCTACGGTTTCACTGATGGACTTTGCCTTTACAGATTCCACGGTTGCTTGTGGCAAGATGTTGTGCAGGTGGATTGTGTACAAGCACATTCGCACGGGCTGCCACTGGCTGGTAGAGGGATGAAACCATGCTTAAAGAATCCCAAGTGGTTCAGGCAAGGCTGGTCATGAGGAAAGTCCAAGGGCCTTGAATACCATCTATATAGTTTGATTTCTCTTCAATGCTGATTGAGCCAAGTCTTTCGCAGAAACAACATGCAGGCACCAGTGTAAGGCTGGTGAAGAAAGCCACAACCCGTGAAGCATTCACATCAAATGATGTGGGTGTGAGCTTGAAACATGTGCCAAAAAGAAACAGCTTGGACCTCCCAATGTCAACCTGACTTGTCATCACGGCCTCCATCCACGAAAAAGGGCTGTCAACAACCCATTGCTCAAGCGAAGCCAAACAGTGTCGAACCCACACCTAGAATCCCATCAAAGGGCATTGAAGTGAACGGAAAGTCACTCTCCTTGCGTCAAATTTGTGGTTCAACGCGCAGACATCAAACAGTGCTGACTAGATGGCTTAGGCAGATTTGAGAGTGGTCGAGTCTAGCTGAAAGCTCCAAGACAAGGGGTCTCTTCTCACGTGCCAAAGTTCTTTATCTAGGTACATATATATATATATATATACATGCTAGCCCCCCCCCAGGACCTACCTTTTATGTGTTTGACCAGATGTGGACCATTTGAAATGTGTTTGGTCAGATGATTTGTTTGAGCAGATGTGTTTGATCAGATGTGCTTGATATGAAATGTGGAGATGTGCAAGGAAAGTTGCGGACAATTCTTTTTTCGCCTTGCAGATGGCAAGTGGTTTACTTTAGGAACCATTGGATCAGCTTCCCGGCGCTGATCCAAAGGTCCTGGTTTCTATGCTGCCAGTACTCATACTGTGCGCTCCGCAGCTGCATTTTCAGCGTACGGCTACCCACACGGCTGTTCGGGTTTACATGCAGCCGTTCCCTAAGAAACCGCCAACATCGGTCAATGATCTGTGTGCCAGATTTGACCTTGAATCTTTTTCGATCCTGGCAGTTTGTGAGATTTGAGCTCTACATATTTTGGTGCCAGCCAGCGGAATGTATTTCCAGCCTTGACACGCTGTTTTTTGCGGACAACACGGTCGTGAAGCACACCCAGCACGGCAGTTTTGTAGCTCTTAGCCGAGTCTGTGTGCAAAATCACCTGTCGATTTTGTAGCACCTTCTTGGCCAGGGGCTCCCACTCGCCTTTCCGCACGACGCAAGGCCTGGTGCCCTCAGCTTTGCAGGTGGAGGCTTCAGTCGGCGCAAGACCAACGTGGATGGCTTTCCTCGCTGCACAACGCCGCACCATTGTTCCCATTGGACTTGCTGACCGACCACCTGGCGATCAAAGGTAGCTTCGTCGGCCTCGATGTCTGCCCAGCCGATCTTTGCCAAAGCAAATGCTCTTCTCTGTGTCCACCACCCACGCTTCAGTAAGTTGACCAAGACGCTTCGCGAAGTCTTCAATGGATTTGTGGTTGATGTGAAGCAGATGGTGAATGGCAGCATTGGGCGCGCGATTGAGGATGAGCATCAAAAGGGCTGATTGCGTTGCCAGTGGAGTGTGAGAGTTGCCAGTGCTTTCGACGAAGAGTGGATGAGCATGGTGCGGGCTGATATACTTTTGACACTTCTTGGCATTGCATCTGTGCTTTCGCACGCCGCGATGTGGAGCCAACTTGCCCAAAGTTCCACGCTCGCAATGAGGACACACAGGCCCTTCCCATCTACGAAGCAGACCGTCATCACGGAGCATGGAGATGAGAGATGCCGTAGAGCGGATCCTGAACGTAAGGTACCTTCTTCCACTCGTTCTGCTTCACAGAACCAGGCCTCTTAGCACCTGGCGAGCCTTGCCACGGTCTTCATTGACCACTGTTTCCTTTCTTATTGCGTCAATATATATATATATATAAATGGGACCCCCACAATCCCTTCAACCAAAAAATGATCTAAAAACTTGTACCCAAAAATCAATGTCAAAATGTGCGTAATTCACCGTAAATACCGCTGAAAAGTACAAAAGGGTAGGTCCCGGGGAGAGGGGTACTGTATATATATATGTATATATATATATGTATATATGTATGGCCCGCAAGGCACTGTCTGCTGGCATTGTTCAAACAACCATTCAGTGATCCAGCGTTTCAAATGCTGAGATGAGTTTTGCGAGTGAATTTCTGTTGAACATGAAAATCGTAGCAGGGAACTCCATTGTCTTGGTCTACTATCAACCAAGAGACCACCCACTCGGCGTGAATTTAATGTTTGCTAGCCAGTGAATGGTTTTTGTGTCCTGCACTGCAGCCATGATCGTCAGCTCCGTGCAAAGGGAACCTCCAAGCAGGTGCGCGCTGGAGCGTATTGAACATTGACATGGGGATTGAAATCACTGAAAATGGCCCTCGGCCCAAGGCAGAACCTGATCTCAAAAAATGTCGGAAATTGTGTTTGTGCTCTTACCGCTCTGTATGCATCAATGTTGTTTGGGGCAAGAAACTTTGGATTTTCTGTTTGGCAAAACAGCCTCTGCACTCAAATTGTCTGAGAAGGGTTTCAGCTGCAGGGCCTCAATCAACCCATCTCTCAAGCCTATCATTCTGATCTCCAAACACCAAACATCCTTCATCCACAGTCAACTGTTTCAAGATCCTGTTGAACCTTGCGGAAATGAATATATGGTCCCACTTTAGAGCCATCCCGCATGTTGTTGCGTTGCTTTCCCTGTTACTGTTGGTTGTTCCCTGCGTGATGTGCCTCCTCGGCTAAAATATTTCCCCGACATTCCCAACCCAGCCTAAGCACATGCTGTCATTCACGGCGAAACCCACCATCTGCCCCGTGGCAAAGCTCATGGCCTTGGCCCAGGAGTTTTGGGCGCTAAGGCCTCAAGGAGCGTTTACATTTACATGTCCATCATTTTTGGTGTTTTCAACCTGAGAAGTGAGGGGCTGAAAGCCAGCCCTCGTAGAACTACAGTGTCTGCTAAACACCACCACGGCCTTCCGCAACTTAGCTCTCCTCAACAGGCTTAGGGCTCGCCACCACGCAACACCCCCCACAGACCCCCTGATAATACCCAACTTCGTTCGCACAATTCGTTTAAAGTGCTCAAAGATGCAACTGCCATGTCCTGCTTTGTCAAGGGTCTTATTGCAAAGGGGCCTCAAACAGCGCGCCGATTGGTCGCAAATGCGCGCCGACGACGATCAAAACCCCCTTGTAAACGGACACATCATGTCCACAGTATGGTTTCAGCTAAACAGCCATTCTTTGTCCACAGCGTCCAAGAAGATCCCAGTTTGTTGGCGCGACACTACGGCAGGCTTTGAGAACAGTGAACAGACCTGGACTGTCGTTAGAAGGAGTAGCACACAACATGGTCCGTGTGACTTTCGGCTGGAGATCCACGGCCCAACCATCAATTCAATCCTTTCTGTCAAGTCTGCAAGACAAGGAAGGGTTTATCCTTCTCGGCTGCTGACGAAGGCTTCAGGCAATTCAAACAAGTGGCAGCGATGCTGAATGTGTCCATTTGTGGCGTCCACAAACGAAGTCACCAATTGAACTGAGTCATGAAAGTGGTTGAAGTCAGAGAGTTGTTGAGTGCCCAGTGGAATTTACTTTCCAGCTCATATGGTATCTGCATAACATGGATATACAAGAACATGCATGGGGTTGTGATGTCGATGACAATGTTGTGACATCGACTTACCCCACCGCGCCCGATTTTAATCACACGACCCATGGATGACAATGTTGCGACGTCGATGACAATGTTGTGACACGGATGACAATGTTGTGACATCGATGACAATGTTGTGATGTCGACTTACCACACGGGGTGGGTTGCACGAAGCCAACCCATACGTGGGTCAAAATGCACGTGAAACCTGATTACCTCCACCTAAGCAGCCTGAAGTTTAGATTGGGATGTAACTAGAAACGCCACAACCAAGCAGGTACGTCCAGAAGGCGTCTCCTCCGGATATCACCGCAGTGCAAGGAGTGTCTTCGTTGAGTGGTGACTCCAAGACTGCGCACCACTCCCCTGCAAACATTTAAAATCAAAGGATTCCCTGTGACTCCAAGGGTTTCACACACACACACACACAACAAGCAATACTCACCTCGTTTGCTATACAGACCTTCAGCCTAGCCTTCGGCTGGCTTTCGAAATCATCTAAGACTATAATCGTGCCCTATCTGTGGACTCTATGCACTTGCGATAGTTGCATAACCTTCAACTAATTTCAACTGGGTGGTCCAATCGCATTGGTAGAGCGTGGGACCCTGACCCACTGCTTCTTTTGAGGCTCCGACCAGCCCAGGCACTTCCCCTTCCGGCAGCGGCCTTACAAACGTTGAGGGAAACCTTGTCTGGGGTAGGACAGAAACTGCCAAAAAGAATACACCTGAAACGAGTAATAAAGGGGATGCAGGAGGTCAATAGATCCGGAACAAGGAACATTGCCTTGAAAAGTTTGATGGAGCTTGGGTTCCTACTGTGGACATCTTACAATGTTGGATCAGCAAAGCACACGCGCGCAGTCAAACCATTCAACGGCCGAATCCCCCCGCCTTGATGGAACGAAGCGCTGGTGGATGTCACAGGGGGCTGAACCTGGGACCGAGTGACGAGTGAGGCCAATGAGGCCCAAGGACCACAGGTGGTTTCGGCTAAAGACCAGGGTGCCCGTTGGTCACTTGGTTCGTTCTTTTCCTGACCTGAGCCGATCCCATAGATTGACATGCTTGGAAGTTGGAGGATGTTGAAGGTCAGCCTTCTTCATGAATGATTAAAACATAGTCCTTGATGCTTGACAAGTAGGCTGCCTGGGCCTGATTACAAAAGAACAAGGACAAGGAAGGGGAATGAGCAGACCTCTCTCCGGTTATTGCAGATAACAACATATATCGCATGATGCCTCAAATGTGTTCCAGCAATACTTTGCCTGATATGAGCCCTATTCATTTAGGGTCTTCATACTTTGCGACACACCAATCTGTCGTCTCCGCCACGAGCTTCCAACTGCATTGTGCACTCGGCAACCACAAGTTGCTAGAGCCTGCCGGTATGCTGCATCACCAAAATGCTACTGTGCTTTTGGGGCTGGCCAACCAATTACAGTAATCAGCTTGATGATTTTTGCTTGCTAGACGTGTGTCAGAATGCTGGGGTCCTCAAACCTACCTGGTGCAAGGGTTAACAGAACATACAGCCTTCCTACAAACAAGTCAGTCTTCTAGCCCTGCACAGGTCCACAGTTCCTCCTAAGCCTCGTTGATGGGTAGTGTGTCAGAAGAACAGGAACGCGCCGCTGAAAATGAAATACGTCTGCTACGCGAGGTAAAAGGAGGGGCTGTCGGAAACTGCAGCAACAACAAGTCAGCTGTTTATGATAAGAGATTGCAAAACTATATACAGTAAACTCTTTGTCCACCTCCCTTTCCGGAGATCACATCAAATTGAATTCAGACGGACCCATGTGTTCAAAACATTACATTGGCTTCAAGCCAAAGATTTATCTCCGTTGCTGGCCTGTGTCGAACAAGACTCGAAAGGTTCGCCTTTCTTCGCCCACCTTCACCTGGCATCAAGCGTTTCAAGATGGGCAAGAAACCGTTGGCCTTCATGTTGCTCTAAACCATTTCATCAGCCCTTTGGACTTGGATTCTCATATTGTCTGCGCTGATCTTCCACAGTGCTGTTGAGCACTATCAATGCTTTTGCTTACGTGCGAGCATGTTCTTCCTGTGGCCTACGCGCCGCTTGTGGTTCGGTACTAGTGGAGTCTAGTTAGTAGATGTAGGTTAACCTTGCTTACCCACCCAGCTGCCAAATCTCCCCAATTTTGACCAACCTGGCTAAGCATGCTCTCCCAAAAAGGCTGCTTGGAGTTTGCCCGGGAGCAGGGCGCTGGTAAGAAAGATGAAGAAGGCATCCATTCAAATGACCATCCATTCAAATCATTCAAGCATAAGTTCCTTCATCTTTGAGACCCCTCTTGGCCCATGGATCCCATCCACACCTCTCCATAGAAGACAGGAGACTCGGTCAACCCATGCTCCTGAAAGCTTCACAACGCGAAGCTAACGAGTGCAAAACGCAGCAAAACGCAGAAAGTCACTGGCTAAATTCAGCAAGGGTTACACCGAAATCGATGTCTTCTTCTGAGCACAGCCGCAGAACCCCCCCCCCCCCCGCCACTCGTCCGGATCCATCGCTGCCACCGTGCAGCCCTGCAGCGGCAAGGTGACCTGGTGGCACTGGTGGTCACCGTGGTCGGCTTTGGTTTTGCATGTCCAAGACTGGGACATTAAATAAAGGTGTATCTCAATGAATCAGAATGTATTTCAATCGACCACAAAATGGCCGCAAGGGGAGATAAAATAGACGTTTGATGTATGGGGGACCTGGTAGTCAGAGCACTATCCTCTGCAAAGAGGACATGGTTCATGCTACACCAAGTTACATTTAATATATATAATATATAGTTGGTTTATGTTGGTTTAAAGAAAATGACGCCATCACTGCAATGTCATCACTACGGCAGTTCCATCAAAATTCTCGGTTGGACTGCGTAGCTCTCTACAGGTGTCCATCCTCCACGGCGCTCCATTGAGTCCTTCACTGGCCGCGCGGTGGCAGAAGCAAGGACCTGAAAATCGCTGAGCATGCTGGGCGAACCGAGGTCGTCTTCCCAAGCACTGCACTTGATGGTGTTTGGAGCATGGCAGCGTTTCAGAAGAGCAGAACCCACAGGTCTGTGTGGCAGGGATTGCAAGCACTGGCTCTATGGAATCTGGTATCAACCCTTGGTGTGAGACTACGGAGGCGTTAAGCCGCAGGAAATTGCTGATGGAGAAGTGAGAGACAACTGGAGATCTGTTCCATCCGCTTTCTCACATTGAGCGACTTGGGGCTGTGGCCAGGAAAAGCCTCCACATGGCGAACACTGCACTGGGCCACTGGTCTACGGAAACGGCGACAAAGAGAGGCAATGCCAGAAGAGATCCAAGTACGAGTGCCAATTCTGATTTTGATTTCCCAGGTTTGAGCTGGGTTCAGCAGCTTCAGTATGATGACAAACTGCATCTCCAAGGATCGAAACTCCAAGCAAGTGCTCAAAACCAAACATGCAGGAGGGATGTGGTCCGCGCATGTCTGCCATATTAGCAGAATATGGAGACCATTTTCGAGGCAAACGCCCTCAATCTCGGCTTTCGAGCTGTTTCTTTGAGCTCTGTCTCTCAGGGTGAAACACTGTTCACCATTTCCCTCCTATGTACACTCCCGGCTGATCATGGGGATCTTTGGATGCGTGAAACACTTTTGGATGCTTTGGGAAAGTGTGGATCGACAAAGGAAAATCCAAGGTTTCACCTGCCAGGAAAGGTGGAAACAGCACCACACATTCTAAGATCCTAGAGTGACACCTTCCGGAGAAGCGGACACATAATTTGTTCTCGGATGTTCTCGGTATGTTCTTTATACTCACTGGCCTCTGTCAAAGCTCTCAAACTTAAAACAAGTCGAGATCATCCTTTCCCCCCACCACTACTCACAAAGCTTGCGGGGGGAATCATCCAGAATCAGATCGAGGAGGGGTGTGTGCGTAACCCTTGGAGTCAAAGGGAACCTTAAGGTTTGGAACAGGGGGACGGGACACCTCTGGCATTTCCCGTCCAACGAAGAGGATGCCAGCAGGTGCTGATACAGTGGGGGACGCCCCACTGTGTACCTGTTCCACTACTTAGGAGAACAGGAGGAAATGGTACTCGACACACTTGTGTGTCGGTGCCTTTCCTTCTGTTCTCCTCTAGACTACCCTATATGTTGCAGGTAGGCCTCCAAACTTTGTAAGGGTTTCTTTAACCTGAACTTGGGCCTCCACCCACTAGAATGGACCCCCAACTTTTGCTGTTTTGCTGTCTTGTTTGTCTTGTGCTTCTTGTCACCTACTAGCGATGGCCCCCAACCTGCCTTCGACGGCCTCCAACCTAAGAGCGAAGACCTCCAACTTTGACCGCTTTGCTGTCTTGTGGTTTCTTGTCTCCAACCTACTAGCGATGGCCCCTCAACCTGCCTTCGACGGCCTCCAACCTAAGAGCAAAGACCTCCAACCTTGACTGCTTTGCTGTCTTGTGGTTTCTTGTCACCAACCTGTTAGCGATGGCCTCTCAACCTGCCTTCGATGGCCTCTAACCTAAGAGCGATGACCTCCAACTTTTGCACCTTGTTTTACTCAGGTCTTTTTAAGCCTAGGTTGGCGTGTGGCACCGCTTTCACTTCAGTACACCCTATCCTAAGTGTGTTTAGCTTCGCGCCAACCCGGGATGAGCCCGTAGAGTGCCTCCCGTGGACCCGTCGAACGGGGGTTTGTCGTTATCTCCCCTGCCCGGAGATGTAAGTGTCCGGAGCGGACAGCAGATGGCTTACGCCACAAGAAGTGGGATGTCTGTCTCATTTTTGGAATTCTAAGTTGGCTCATGCCTTTACGTGACCGCAGCGGTCAGAGGTGGCCGCCCGCGGGCATGCCGTACGTGGTCGCCGCGACCGAAGTTTGTTCAAGGCTCATTGGAACCTGTCGCGAGCTTACCCCCCCCCTTCCCCTTCCCTCCTCCTTTCTTTCTTTGCTTTTTGGGGTTTTCCTGAGTGCAATACTCAGGATCACCCCTTTCTTTCTGTGGTGTGTCCCTGGACGACTGTTCGTAGCTGGGAGCACCTGCCTTTTCCTTTTCTCTCCTCTCCCTTTCTCTCCCTCTCTCTTTCTTTCCTTCTCTCTTTCCTCTCTTCACCCTCTTCCTTGGGTGTCCCTGGATGCTTCGTCATAGCTGGGAGCCCTTCCTTTTTGGTGTGTCCTTGGACGCTTGTGTCGTAGCTGGGAACACCTGCTTCCTTCTCTCCCTCCTTCTCTTTTCCTCCTCCCCTCCCCCCTCTTTCCTCGCGCGCGGCGTGTTTACAAGCAAACTAGGCTTCTGCAACAGGTTTTTCTAATGAGGTTTGGGCTGTCATCGGTTTGTCCCCGTTCATTTGGTTTGCCTTTCATCGGCCCCCACCGACATCTTTTTTCCTTCTTTTCTTTCATGTCTTTTTGTCTTCATGTCTCTTCACCCTCATCCTTTCTTTCTCTTGCGCGTACTTTCGTCCGGACCTTAGTTTGCACACATACACGCACGCGCACTCTACTTACAACGAGGTTCAGGTGGCCCAGGTTCGTTACAATGAGGTTTGGCTCATCGGTTGTCCCTCTTCGCTTGGTTCCTTTTCATCGGCAACCACACACACCTTTGTCTGTCTCGTCCTTTTCATTTTCATCTGTCCCTTTTGCGTGCACATGTGCCCGCCTCCTTTCCGGGCAGGATGGAGGCCACACACGCCTCCCTTCGGGGAGGCGTGTGTGTGTGTAACCCTTGGAATCAAAGGGAACCTTAAGGTTTGGAACAGGGGGACGGGACACCTCTGGCATTTCCCGTCCAACGAAGAGGATGCCAGCAGGTGCTGATACAGTGGGGGACAGTCACGCCCCAGTGTACCTGTTCCACTACTTAGGAGAACCGGAGGAAATGGTACTCGACACACTTGTGTGTCGGTGCCTTTCCTTCTGTTCTCCTCTAGACTACCCTGTAGGTTGCAGGTAGGCCTCCAAACTTTGTAAGGGGTTCTTTAACCTGAACTTTGGCCTGCACCCACTAGAATGGACCCCCAACTTTTGCTGTTTTGCTGTCTTGTTTGTCTTGTGCTTCTTGTCACCTACTAGCGATGGCCCCCAACCTGCCTTCGACGGCCTCCAACCTAAGAGCGAAGACCTCCAACTTTGACCGCTTTGCTGTCTTGTGGTTTCTTGTCTCCAACCTACTAGCGATGGCCCCTCAACCTGCCTTCGACGGCCTCCAACCTAAGAGCAAAGACCTCCAACCTTGACTGCTTTGCTGTCTTGTGGTTTCTTGTCACCAACCTCCTAGCGATGGCCTCTCAACCTGCCTTCGATGGCCTCTAACCTAAGAGCGATGACCTCCAACTTTTGCACCTTGTTTTACTCAGGTTTTTTAAACCTAGGTTGGCGTGTGGCCCCGCTTTCACTTCAGTACACCCTATCCTAAGTGTGTGTCTGGGGTGCAGGTTACGAGTTCTCCTGCAGCTGGTGGCTCACAGCCAGTGTATTCAATCCTACATACTTGTATCTTGTAATGTCGCTCACATTCTCATTCCTTCAATTGAGCGCAGGTTGGTCAGGGGGAGGAAGTATATATATATATATATTGTAATTATACATCAGAACGCGTGGCCTCTCATCAAGTTGCATACAATCTCCGCTTCCATCCTGCCCTACTTCTAGGCTGCCCATTTTAGGCAGCAAACATGGGCGAAATCGTGTGAACGATCCATCCGGATTGCTTTTACAGGGCAATTCAACTTTCATCCCCGTCATGTCCAAGACAGGGCTCAATTCAGGTAGCTGCCTTGGACCAGAAGCTGTTGTCAGCCACCGCAGTGGTCGAGCCCTGACCAGACGAATGCAACACACACGTCACATCCGAGAACATACGACGCCGTTGGGGGATTTGCAGACGATAACTCGGTTGAATATATAAGTGAAGATTTGCCGACTCCACTAGTAGCAAGAAGCTAGTAGGTTGGAGGCCATCGCTATTAGGTTGGAGGCCATCGCTATTAGTAGCAAGAAGCTACGGTATAGACAGCATACCCTGCAAAAAATTGATGCTAGGAGCAAGAAGCTACTAGAGCAAGAAGCTACTAGGAACAAATCGCTACTAGGAGCAAGGACGCTACTTACTAGTAGCTCCTGGCCTTACTACTAGGAACAAGAAGCTACTAGGAGCAAAAGGCATCGCTACTAGGAGCAAGGACGCTACTAGAAATGGATGCACAATGGCTGGGGAAGCTGGTGAGCTCAAGCGCACCCACTTGGAGGTCCTGAAGAGGGGAGAGCCTTGAGCCTTTTGAGGGAACGTGGTAACGCTGGGCGAAAATTAAGTATCTTTTAGGGTGATCATGTGGGAAAAGAACAAGAAATTGTTCTGCAGCGATGAAATCCGGAGGTACCGCGCATGGTCACTCAAAATTCATCTGCCCAATCGCTCGCAGCAGCTTTTACATTGGAGTTCATCTTCTACTACAAGGCTGGGAATTGGTTTGGAGGCTTCGATGGACCCAATGACATCTGTGCCTGCATGTTGTAGGCCAGGTCCTGCAAAAGGGCTGAAGGTCGGAGAAGTTGTTTCACAAGCCAGGCCGGGCTGGAAGTGGGAACTGTCGAAACTTCGCTGCATGGTGGAAGTACAAATTTCGCTGACGAGGTCCGGTCCGAAACTGTCTCCGAATTGGCAAAACAAGGAAAAACTAGTCCTGAAGTATAGTAAACAAACAAAAAACATCCCCCCTTCACCTCTTCATGCCAGAAGTCAAATTTCCATAAGTTTCCACGTGATGAAAGGAAAGTACATCTTCGGCAATCTTCAGTTGTTTGGACCTCAAACGCTCCACCCCGTCAAGCCAAACAGCATAACCCGCCAACCCCCCTGAACTCCCCAGCTCTCCTCCGTGGTGCGGGTCTTCTTCTTGCTTTGACTGCACAGGTGTCTGTCTTCGTTGATTGGTGTTCGTCAATTCTATCTGATAGTGTTCTTTGTTTGGGGAGATGGTCTTCAGAACCAGAACAGAGCGCAAACCTTGAGGGCAAGTTTGGTATATCAACTACGGGTCAGTATGCCATTGAATCTTAAAGACTTGTACAGTTCCTACCTCGAAGCAGTTCTGACGTAACACTGCCAACCTCCAGTAGCCGTGCCTTGGCCACTTCTGAACTGGATACTTTTGGATGCTCTTGCGCCCATCATCAGGTGTGACGTATTCCTTAGCTCACATGGAAGGGACTTGTTCAAGCACGGGTCTGCCACCAACGCTCTCACAAACCCGTAGTTTG